GTTTATCCTTACTGAACAGTCGGTCAACGGGTTAATAATACCGTAAAAATCTCGAACGCGAAGACAACTGTGAAAGCATCAAAGTCAAATCAAAGAGAAAGTCGTCGGGATGTCTATCTTCGTCGATAGCCAAGTTCCTCGCCGCATATTGAAGCGTTCAGCCGTAGTGGTATCGTTCACGGCAACGTTCGTCGAGCTTAAATAACTACATAAAACGCGCGGGACCACGGAGGAAAGTCAAAATACGAACGACCGAGGAAGAGACGAGGCCGCGGGGGCGACGACGGCGGCAAAAGTGGAAGAGGGTACTAGACGAGAGGGACGAAAAGGTTGCGGACATAAAGCGTAAACAGTCGAGGTGTGATTTGACGTGCACTCCGGCCGTGCCTTCGAGGCCCGCGCGTCCCGCTTTAAGAATCGCCCGGTGGAAGAGGGTGATGGCGATGGCTGGAATCTGTAAATCTGTCATTGCGGCCGTATTCGTGCGCAGGATATGAACTTCTGGCCGTCGTGTCGGTCGCATCGCGTCACGTCGCTTCGCTCCGCGAAGCATCCTCGGCAAACTATGGTTGGTTTAGTTCTTCGATGGATCGAGTTTTCGATCTCCCAAAAGTAACACATGTTGCGTGCGAGTAGCGGTAGCGAACTCGAAAAAATCGCTGCCCCGATAGAGAGAAGAGACTATGAAGTTAAAACAAATAGACGGGGTGAAAATGGACTCGTGTTATGAGAAAATAATTCTTCTTTGTATTGTATATATCGCGATTAAAATTAAACAGAGAATATCACAATATACTTCGATCGTTCTCTTCTCTCTCTCTCTCTCTCTCTCTCTCTCTCTCTCTCTCTCTCTCTCGCTTTCACGCAAATTCTTAATTAATCGCATGCGCTCACGTAATGATACCCGCTGTGCAAAGAATACGCTGATACAAGCGAAACGAAGTTACGATCGCGATGGTTAACGCCTATTCCGAACTCCGTCGGTCTTCTTCGGAAATTCAGAAGGCGTTTCGAGCCGCACCAACGACGTGGAAACTATAAAAGCTCCGCCACACCGTGTACATGCGAATCGTACACACGGGCCACGGTACGTGGCGATGACGGATTCATGGGCCGCGGGATAGCGCCTTCCTCTTGCAGTCGCGGACACACGCCGGCGTTTCCTTCCTACTCCTTCCTCTTTTTTCCCTCCACCTACCGAACGATTCATTTGTCGGTCTTTGATCCGCGACCAACGAGCCACTGCCGGAAAATTAGAGAGATTTATTAAACACTCTCCGTGCGCCAGGTCCTCGTGCTCCATTGCCTCTCGTCACGCTCGGTTGAGTTTGGTAATTGACAGGACGTGTTAGAGATCGGTATCGACGAACGAAATAGTGATGAAGGCTCGTCCACAATACGCAGAGTGAGCTTGGCGCAAGTTGGATTAAAAAAAAAACGAAAATTATTTATTTCGCTTTTATGCCTTCTAATTTTCTTACAATCAAAGATATTTCTCTGAATTACTCCAACTTGCGCTAAGCTCACTCCGTGTATTGTAAACGAAACTGGACAAAGAACCCGTGAGATATCGATGCAACTGCGATTAAAACAATTATTTCAATAGCAATAACTCTCGTTTTGTTACAGGAGAGACGTATTCGGTGCCAACAACGTTGGTGGCAAAAAAGAGATAACGTTCCTTTCGCTTTTCCCTTCAATGTTAACCAGTAGACCGTTGCCTTTAACTCTCTAACATAAATTCGGGAGAGGTGTCACCAATGTCAGCTGACCTCTTGGAGGTTGACCTCAGTTAGTCGCAGCATCATCCACGACGAAGATGAAAGAATACAGGGCGGCTTTTTATTGCCGGCGCCGTCACGCGCCGTCGATAAGCGCGGCTTCTCTGTAGACTGTGAGTCTTGCGGCTTTATATTACTCTCGGGTTAGGGTGTCAAAAGTACACGGTGAGACCTCCCTTGTGCGGACCGCACAGTATACTTTTACAGTGTACGGCGCAACGTGTTAGACGAGAACCGAGAATGTCATTTCTTCGCGGAATAAGTTAATAAGTTTAAGACCCAACGTGTCGCAAACTGAGTCAAGAAGTTCGTTCGTCAATTCTTATTTTTTATCCTTCCACTTATGATTGGGAATCGCGATTGAATTTCCACCTTCTATAGATACTTCTGCGTGAGTGGCA